TGCCGAAAAACTAGAGCCGAAAGCCGGAAAAATCGGGTTTAATTTATGGAATAAAAGGCCAATTTCTAGCTCCTGTAACTTTGGAACCAAGTGAGATACAGCATTCCGGTTTGTGGCGCCATGTAGCCCCACGACTTGGCTACCCACCCCCCAAAGCGTAACTCTCTCGCATGTACGGTTTGCCTACAGTAGCGGTTTTAGTTTGACCTATGAAAACCGAAAAAATCGGCCATTTTTTAGTCATTTTGATCAGGAAAAATTTCTAAGTTGGACCCAAAAAAAATTTTCTTTTTTTTGACTGAAATCGATTTGGGGGGACCGAGGGAGATTGGAAATCCGTTTGAAAGATGTTTCCTGCATTTTGGCGAAAAACTAGAGACGAAAGACGGAAAAAATCGGGTTTAATTTATGGAATAAAAGGCCAATTTCTAGCTCCTGTAACTTTGGAACCAAGTGAGATACAGCATTCCGGTTTGTGGCGCCATGTAGCCCCACGACTTGGCTACCCACCCCCCAAAGCGCAACTCTCTCGCATGTACGGTTTGCCTACAGTAGCGGTTTTAGTTTGACCTATGAAAACCGAAAAAATCGGCCATTTTTTAGTCATTTTGATCAGGAAAAATTTCTAAGTTGGACCCAAAAAAAATTTTCTTTTTTTTGACTGAAATCGATTTGGGGGGACCGAGGGAGATTGGAAATTCGTTTTAAAGATGTTTCCTGCATTTTGGCGAAAAACTAGAGACGAAAGACGGAAAAAATCGGGTTTAATTTATGGAATAAAAGGCCAATTTCTAGCTCCTGTAACTTTGGAACCAAGTGAGATACAGCATTCCGGTTTGTGGCGCCATGTAGCCCCACGACTTGGCTACCCACCCCCCAAAGCGCAACTCTCTCGCATGTACGGTTTGCCTACAGTAGTCCAAATTAGGTCGAAACATGGATATTTCTTCATTGACTTTGTATTGCAATACGTCATCCGGCCCCATCAGCTGATCAAAATTTACATTGGTTTCTTTAGAGCCCTGCGGAATGGATAAATAATGATAGTTTTCAAATTCACTATGTCATTGTTACATTGTCCGAGTCACTAAGTACTTGATCAGTTTATTCTTTTATATTAAAAATGTATTCTTTAAAGGGATGATGTATCCGTGTTTTAACAAAAAATATCTAAGTTTTCAAGAATTATAAATGAATTTAGAATTTCCTCTTTTGAACATTTCGTCAAATGTGTTATTATGATGTATTTAGTTTCATTTAGACAATTTTACAAACTTGCAAAAGATTTACACATATCTACTTCCTTTGAATGATGTTTCATGTATTTTAGATTCAAATCAATTTCTCTTTAAATTTTAAAACACTCGTGGTTAAATGTCAAGGCTATTACAATGTTTCATATTGTGATACACAAAAAACAAAACATGCATTTATAGGCCTTGTATCTCCAATAACGGCATGAAAATGCGTATAATATTAGTTGATATCATATTTTAGGATTCAAGTAGTGATTGGAGACTGATATGTTTAATAAAGTCAGTTGAAGTTTGCAAGTTAAATAGTCCAGATGTGTTGATTTTAGCCTAAGGAATAAATAGTTCATTTTCATCTGTTAGTGATTAGTTTTATATGTGAAAAATTCATTTTGGATTCCAAGTAAGTAATTCAATTTGACATATGATAACTGTTAAAACATTCTACGGTACTCCTTTTGATAAAAGAAATGTAGGCCACACGTGTTAAAAAAGGCGCTGATCGGTTGAGAAGTATGTAGGTCTATTAATTACTAAATTAGTGTATAGAGTGGATCCATGCCAACCAGAATAAATTTCATAACCTGAGACATCGTGACTGAAAAATACGGCATAAATCATAGTTGTGCCAAAGCAAGTAATTTGAATGATCTTGGGAACAAGAAAGACAGAACATAGTAACAAAGAACTTTTTTTACTTCACTAAATCTAATTTTAAGTCAGAAATAAATATTTTTTAGGTTTTAGTGCAGAGTCATTTGGCGACCTTTCACTCGTGTTCTTGAAATTCGCTTGCTTTCACATAGGCCAATCCAATAATAGAAATCCGGATGTCCTGATTACCCATATTTTTCAAAACATTTTACAAGTTAACATTAACTGCAACAGATTTCTTTATATTGCTCTACTATTGATGTATTGAGCACGATTTTCACAGCGAAAATATTATTGTATAATTCATTTACTATAAAATCTGTGTAAAAACCAATACAATGATAGCATGAAAACAATCTAGGAATTTTCTAGTCATAACTCATGCCTTAAAATATATCTTCAACAGGGTATTCATTTTACAAGTGAATGCAAGTGAAACCTTTTGAAAGCTACAAAATATATAGCGTAAACCGGAGAGATAAGATTGTGTCATAAAATGTGGCTATTCATATAAACAATATTATTAAAAATGAATTACAATGTTCTGTCCTATTTTGATATTGACCAGTCAAGAGTTCAAAGTTCAGGAGTGGCTATAAAGAAATTGTGTAATGTTTAATTCAGAGTTTCTCAAGCAAATTAGCTAAAGCGCAAATTTTCATATTTAGAATTGCCAAAGTGCTACAAACCTTGGGTCAAAGGGTCAAAAAAAAAGTATGGGGGGCCGAGGGGGAGAGGCTCACCGAAGCTGAAGGCCTGTGTATGCTGTAAAATGCTGCAAATCGTTCCATGTTGCATTTAAAAAGTACTTGTTGTTGTCTGTAAACTGACCAATCATAAGTTCGACCTCAAGAATATATTATCTAAGTTTTCCTGTACTAAAATATGACAATACAAGACTGGCGTTTTCAAAACACTTCCTTATTTTCCTTATTTTACCTTTTTTCAATTTCTATCTAAATCTCTTTTGTTTATCAGATTCCTTCGCGCGCAACTTTGCAAGAATTTATGCGTCCCAAATGGGGACAAGGAAAACGTGTATATTCGCTTTGATCGGACAATAAACAGAGGCCCGTATACTCCAGGCTGTGTACCTCAACCGAGGTCCATATGCACCCCAGGGATACATTAGAAATTTGGAATGAGGCGGAATTGAGGGTGAATTTTGTTAATAGTGGTGGAAATTGAGCAACATCGATAACTATCAGACTTGTTAACTTCGTATCTCCTGAGTGTGCATTACTCTGTTTCAGTTTTAAGTTATTTGATATTATACAGTACTAGGGGTGAATGGCGGAGAATTTTTTTTCTCAAGGGGGAATCGGATCACGAAGGTTGAAAGGGCACTGCCCTTATCGATATAGCGTTAATAAAATAATCAGATTGAATCAGGATAACAGAATATATTCCAAGAAGGCCTCTTGTGAATATTAGCTGCTCTCCATTACCCCATAAAAATAGAAAATTGCTTTATACTCCTGTCGTTCGAAATTGATATTTATTAACGTTAACTCGTTTCTTACAGAAAACAAAAAATGACTGAAGAATCTTCACAAAGCCAATCTTTTACGAACTGTCTAATACCTTGACTTTGTAGTTTGTAAATGAATCGATTTCATTGGGTTGTAAGCTGGCGATTACAGCCAATTAGAGACCCTCGACAGGGACTGAGAACAATGTGAAAGCGCGTGTAATCGAGTGTTATGATTGGCCGAACAATCGAATAGATAAACCCCTGAATAGCTTTGAAATAGCCCAATATCTTAATATATGAAACAAGTAGAATCATAGTTTGAAATATTTGATAAACCTGTTTGTTATCCATCCGTTGCACTATGTTGGTATGTAGGCATATCAGAGTTTTGATTCAAATTAGTGGACGGGAATTGTCAATAGCTTATCGATATTTCAATCCTGGTATAAAGAAGATTCGTTCACGAATTCAATTGGTCTTAAGCTTTTTTGCACGACTTTTGGCAGCATTTTTTAGATTTGTTTCTATCCTCGTTGAAATTGATAATAGTATCTAACTGGGAGTTCAAAAACATTACTTCGTTCTTCAAGTGTTCAACATTTTTGGCTAAGACTTGGTTCACGTACTTGATCATTTCTCCTGCTAAACAACTAGCATTTGTATCGCTGGCACACATGGCACAAGAATATGGCCAAGCTAGTATAAGAAAAGACATCATATATTCCAACTTTTTGTGGGCAAGATTACCATAATCTTCAATATTTGTTGGAAAAGAGAAAAATTTAAATAAGGATTCGCGATCTGAAGCAGAAATAGACTTAGAGAGAAAAGAAAAAATTGTCAGGGATTCCATTTCCTTGATAAGTTTACACACTATAGTTGCATTTTCATTGTCTAGCTGTAACAAAGATAGTAAATGATGCTCTGGTTGAAGAACCTCAACTGATGTAATGAGATGTTTTAAAACAGTCTGCAGTAGACCTTCTTCATCAACAAAGGACACATGGTTGGTCGGCGAACTCAGAGCAAGCTTCCAGGATTTAAGGAATTGGTTAAGATCGTCTGGTAATGATGTTGGTAAGGTTACACTCAATATATCGGATACGCGAATCAACACCATCGGACTCCTCTCTTTCTGTTTACTCAGTATCATATAACCTCTCGGTTGACCTAAAATATAAAAAATACATCAAAGATAGCTGTCGTAAACAGAGTATAGAAATGCTAGTGGCAGAAGACACAACAGATTGACGATCCATCGTAAAAGCTCCCTTTTACGGAAACTGCCGAGGATTTCCGAATGTCTCAAGGACCGTTTGGATCGTTTTGTTCAAATGATACCCATAATATCTGAACAGTGATAACTTTTCGTTATTTCAATTTTTGGAAAGAGTAGTTGAAAATGACCTCACACTGACTGACAACTGCCAAAGAGCAGTTAGTTGAAATAATTTATTGCCAAGGACGTTTCAACTGTTAAAAAACAAAGTACGCCCAATCAAAACCTTACATACCAGTTTCTTTGTCATGAGCTTTCATAGCCGAGAAAAACAACTCCATTGGTATCCAATGAGGTGGGTATTTGAATCGAGCTGTATCTAATAATAGTAACATATCACGATCTGGATGGTAGGCACCTATTGGTGAAAAGTGACCATCACCAGTTTGTCCTAAGACTGCTCTTGAATATGACGCTACCAGAAAGCTTTCGTCTTGTTGCGTATAATGTCTTACAGTTTCCCTGAATTGCGTTATATCCACACTTTCATCAACTGGTGTGGAAATCACATTTAAATTATTACAAGAAGCTATACATATGAACTGATGCAAATTGATGCCATTTTGTTCCACGATTTGTAGCGGTGTACAGCAGTCCAACATGTTTTCGTGATACCACCGCCAAGGACCCTTCCATATTAGTCCCGGATCTATTTCCAATGCGTTTAAAACCATTACTAGCGTCGATAAACCACAGAAGGCAGGTTCATCCTGTGTTCTGAATTGTGAAGCTAGTTTGAAATAACAGACCAAATTGCCAGCCAACAACGATTCCTTAAACAGTTCCTTTCCTTGATCCGACGAGAAAGCAATACATGTTTCTGGAAGAGGTCGACGATAAAAATTTCGATTTGGTGTCGGCGCAGTATTGTTTGACATCATAAGAATATTCACGTTACGTTGCCATCCACTAAAACCAACTTTATTTCTGAAAATATAAATTACATAGTATTCTTTTTCAGAAAATGAACTATCTAAAGAATACACTGGCGACTCTATCTATAGAACACAGTAGCGGCAGTGGCTCTATTCTAGAGCAGAGGTTCCCGGCCTTTTTCAGCCTTCACACCCCTAGAGCAATCACCCGGGCCTTTCACACACCAACAATTTGTTTCATCCACATTTCCAGCATGCGATTATGTGAGGGCCAAACTATTTTTCTATGGGAGAAATGTGACGCCACAGATAGGGCATGAATAAATCGGAGGCCACTCCATTCATAAAGCTGGATCAAAGCGAATATCAGTAGTTTTAATTGGGAGCATGCTATTCAACACCAGTTACATAATGCAAAATGACACTGTGCCTTTTCTTATTCAGACTTCCCAGATGATTCCGTTTATTTTTATATATTATGCTTCGCCTATCCACAATATATCTAGTTTTTTATATAAAGGCCTAAAGCAAATCTCGGATGCCAGTTGCTACCCATACTTTCGTTAGTAAATAAATTTCTTGAACATTTTGAATCTTAAATCTCACCTAAAATAATCGATCAAATAAGATTAGAATTAGAAAAGAATTAAAATTAATATCGTTGAGGATAGTAATATATGTTTCCATTCATTTCTCTTTACAATATAGCATTAATCGTCCGTTAAAAAATCATTTTTTGTAGAACAGTCAAGTAACCTAATTTCATGCTAACCTATTTTTCGTGTATCTCCGTAAATGTTTAACAATTTACATGTGCGACCTTGTGTGACCTCCGCATTTTCTTGTTTTGATAAACATGGGTTATCTGTACCATGTCAACTAATAGAATGAATCTAGTAGTTTCAAGCAAGGCAAAATGTATTAATGTAAACTTTGATAATTACAAAATGGCGGATTTCAACTATTTCAAAATATTACAATTTTTTACCGGCCGAATTTCCTTATAATCCCAAGCTGTAATCTGATTTCAAATGTCGTCTGCTAGAATGTAGTTAAATGAACGAGGTCACGTGATAAAACTGCAGATTCCGTGTCAGCAGAACAATTCTATGGAACACAGTGTGGGCCGTATTCTTATGTTCTTTCAATGACTTTTAGCAATAAATCACGTTATACTTATTTTATTTTGTCAATCACTATTTTTTTAACCATTATTCTTCGATGGATTTGTCATTACTTATAATAAAATATTATTAAAGATAAATACTAAGAGAAGTTTATAATAGGTGACGCATTTAGAAGCCATCATCGAGTTGGTTACTCATGAAATATGGGTCAAGGTGAGGGATTCATAAAGAAAATCGAAACAAACCAATTTTAATTATTTTGTAGAATATCTGAGGAAACTTCTAGGACATAAAAAAATATCGCGTTTTTAATTTGGACGAAATTCGATGTTGAATCCTTGTATGCACGAATATAGGTTACACCAGTGTATATCGATAAAATATCCGGCTTTCCCGTTGCATGTACGGCGTGCCATACAATATTTCATTTTAAGATGGCCGGAAGACAAAGGAAATATTTCCTATAGAGCCTCTCATAAACATATTGATTCAAGATACTTACAGCATTAATCTTCTCGGGCATAGCATTGAAACTCCCCTAATAAACAAAAGTTTAATACATGCATCGGACCGTGAAAAAGCCCGTGTGTCTATTCACATACCGGAAGTAAGCTAATTCTTATGTATGGTGGCCTAAAATGGCTACCTACATTATGAACGTGCACGGTATACTCAATGGTATAGAAGCTAATTGAGCGCCGGAAGTAACTATAAAATTACGAAAGGCATTTAAAAGATTTTTTTTTTCAAATATGATGTTTTTGTGAAATACAGAAGATATAGGCTATCAATAAAGCGATTTGAATTAATTTGAAAAATTAGTATGACTAAATCAAATTATTCGTGAATTATGACTTATCACGATACTCTCATGATTATACGGCAGAAAATTCAATGCACGCACTGTTCTGCGTTTTGAAAGAACATAATTTGAATTTAAGTTTTTAAGCAGAGTTTATGGCGTGATAAATAACATAAGATATCGATAACATTTCTAATTTGTAAGTTGGTGTTTCTAATGAATTGTCATGTATACTTAATCATACCAGTTTGTTCTTATTGCATATAATTTAGAGTTTGAACCAATCATAAATGTCCATATATGTACAGTCTGGATAAACAGAAAAAATCTTGATCGATCACTCATTGGAATTCTGCTGATAATTCTCGTCTAATTTTGCTAATTATGAATTAACTATGGTCATTAGAACACCTCTACTTTCTAGTCATATAAGTATTAGTATTTTCATTTTCATAAATGAAAATAAGGGAACCAATCTTTAAATGTCGACGCTGCCACTGAACAAATTTCTATAATAGGCTATGATAATCTGATAATGACGATAAAAAAACAACAACATGCATTTGAGTGTATGTCAACAAACAATCAGCCTTCCTGATATGCTACAGAACATTGACCTGTTGATAATGACACACGTTTATCGAACGGTGAAAGACGGACAAGAAATACGATAACATTATCTATATCACGTGTATGTATAGATTTTAAATAGCGTTGGATATAATATTGTAAATCATCATCACGGGGTCAAAACTATGTATACACCGAACGCCAGATATCAGTTAATTATGATAGAAGCATAATTAGATTTGATTAATCATGTATACAGTTATTATCGACTAAAAATATGGCCTCATTTCAGGCAGCATCAGTTTATTGTGTTTCTGATTTGGAATTACCTACATACGTTCCGCAAAATCACACTAACTACAGACAAATATTTTCTATTGTATGTCTAACTGCCGCAGGATTAGGATTTACGGGTTCGATTGTACAGTTAATAACATGGATTATCAGTTCACGACGTTTAGAAGATGGGGAAGAGAGAAGATCCTTGGTCAATCCCACTATAGTTATCAGTTTAGCTATTGCTAATATTATATCATCCGTAGGTAAGTCTTTAAACGGTTCTTGCAAATCATAGCCATATCGCTTTGTCGTTTTCATTTTCAAATTTTGATATGTGCTTTTCATAAAACACAGATATATTATGGTGGAATAATGACTGAAAAAAACGTAATCCATGTAAATTAGTTTCAAAGTAAGGCCATACACATCATGATATAAAAATGAACGTTTTTGTCTATCAGTCATCATCACCGATTTATCACCTCTACTTGATTAGACTCGGGGCTGCACTTCCTGTATTTGAAGATGATTGAACACGCGCTGTAGTTGAGCTTTAAAACTTCTTGCCTTTCTGTTTGGGCACAATCACATGGTTTTGAATGCCCCCCTCCCCACTCCATATTTTCTGGGTTGTTGGTTAACTATTTTTTTTTCTAAAATTTCGTGCTTATTTTTAGGAGTTGTACTTCGATCAATGGCCTTACTCTCAACCAAGCCACCAAAAGAATATTGTGCTTTAACAGAAAGTTTCAACATGTCTTCAATTTGTGAGCATGATGTGGAACTGAGTCCGTCAGTTTGTCAGAAAACAATGATAATTGGTAATGTTCTAGAGGTAAGCTTAACTGTGTTCATATTAAACATTGATGCTAATTTGCTCACCCCGAATTTTGTTGGTGGTAGTAAGAGCTGTGTTCAAAGAAACGTGGCTACAACGTCACCAGATCTGCATTAAGCCACCTCAGTCGTCGTGTTTATTCTGATATTTATTTTAATGTGTATTCGGACGAAGGACATCTCAAATCCGGAAGAAAATATTTTGCTTGTTTTGATTCCTGTGCAACTGTTTTGTTCTTTCAGGGACTAACCGATTACAGTTTTATTGTTGGTGCTCTTTTGACACTGTCATACTCCGCTGATGTTCTCCATAGACAGCGTGGTGCTATTGTTGAATCTCAAGTATTTAAAAACAGGTAGACTAGTACATAGAATCTTCTGACCTGTCAACACTGTCTGCTAGCATCATTAGTACAGATATCATAAATGCTATCATCATCAGTCCTGTTCTGCCAATATGTTGGTGCACCCATCACGCTGGACATTGACCAGTTGCCCTTAATACAGCGACCTATGAGACCACTTTTCCCCTTGCGTGCCCGCCACGACTATTAGCCTATGCATCCAGGGCGTCTATATTGATATCTTAGGGATTGTTAGGGGACGTCAATCGGAGGTCTCGTGTTATCTCACTGTTATCTTTGTCAACATCATGTTTATAGAAATCATCTCTACTAACATCAATTTTACTGGCATATTACATGTACAGACACCATCCCTCCCCGAGGCTAATATTATTAGTAATCCAGAAATTCGATAATCAGATATTTCAAAGAATACACTACAATAACATGTATATCGGCCCATATTTCCATTTAAAATGTTTTTTTTAATGTGCTTCAAATATGAATTTTTCAGGCCTACGTCTTTGAACATGATTTTGTGTTGGATCCTGCCATTTCTATTTATTGCTGGAAGCACTGTGGCTGTTTATTATAAAACAGACTTTCCTCAGAGGTTTGTGTTAATTCTTTTGATAGGAGATTAGTGACGTCCGATTCCATTGATTTCACATCACAAATTGATTTCAGTTTTTATGATTGCGTGTTAACATCTACAAATTGTTTTCAGTTTTTCTGATTACCTGTTAACATTAACAAATTGTTTTCAGTTTTTATGATTACTTATTAACATTATCAAATTGTTTTCAGTTTTTATGATTACTTGTTAACATTAACAAATTGTTTCAGTTTTTATGATAACATGAAAAATTTGTTTAAATTTTTTTTCAAATCAAGGTGTCCACATGATTCCAGAATACACATCAGATATCTTATTGTATACCTTCCAATAACCTTGGTAATGATCATCAACCCAATTCTGTTGTTTAAAGCTAGATCTTTGGGTAAATATTAAACAGTCCATTCATACATTTCTTTTTAGCTGTGATGCGGATAAGTATAAGGTTTCTGTGCATAGTTGCCATTCTTTCTGTGTAAAGAGATAGATATCAGAAGTTTACATAGCCCTGTCCCTAACGTGGTATACGAATGGGATATCAGCGTCCGAATAACGGGTAGGTCCAGATTTGTCGTGCTAAAGTTTACACATCATTGGAGCAGCGACTTGGCAAATTATTGTTATTTATTAGTTACCAGTTTGGCAAATTTGCATTTCATCTAAAAAAAAGTAGACTTACACCATTTGATTTGTGTCATTTTATTTCAGTCAAGAAGAGTATAACAAGGCGGACAGCAACATTTTCCTCTCGAGAGCGGAATATTATTAGAAAAATGACCATTCGATTTATTTTCATAGTTTTATTATATATTATTTGGTAAGTTGAAATCATTTCACCTAATTGCTACTAAATAGAATGCACCGAATCAATTTTTATTTTATTGAATGTTTTCTTGCAAGAACGCCTCCATAAGAGTTGTTGCATTTTGAAATCAGCCTGGACAGTTCACCCTATTGAGTTTGTCTTCCCCCTATTTGTACCCCCTGTTTCGAAAGGGCCGCCACTGCTTCTAAGCCACGATCGCTACTCAAGAATATTTATGAGCACAGTATGACTGTTGCGTATTCACATTCCCCTATATTTTATGTTTTCTAGTTGGATTCCTAATATTGCTGAAAGTTGTACACAAGTTATTCTCTATTATTATGGTACAGATTCACCATCCATACAGACATACCAATGGCTCTTTCCCTTGCTCATCACAGAGGTATGTTATGCTTCTTCATGTAAATAAAAGAGCTGACAAAGATAATTTGAAACTGTACCGGTTGTCAGATTAGGAATCCGAGGGTTGCTCAGGGAAAACAATTATTAAGCACGATAGTGCTTTAGCTTTACGGAAACTGTCGAGGTTTGCCGAATGATTATTAAATAAGACTATCTCTATTTGAAATAATTCGACACTCTCCGCATCAATATCATTTAGAGAAATACTTCATCAGTATCTGGATTTTTATTTCTCAATCCGTTATGTTATATTTTGGAAATTTCAGGCTATAATGAACCCGTTACAAGGATTTTACAACTGTTTTCTCTATGGTTTACCAGGATTTCGACCATCACGATGTTTTGCAAAGTCCGAGGATATAACAAGCTCATCTATGGAAGAAAGTCAAAGTTTATTATCAAATAAGACAGGGTCTTTACAACGACACTGTGTAATTCGACGTATTCTTCGATGACGACGCGTCGTCAGTTTTTAGAAGTGATGACCACCTCATCCTTGCAAAGCCCGGATAATTTTATTCCTCTTTATATATCACAAGTGTTCTTTATTATCATAAACTGTTATTTTTTGGCATAGTTTCTAGGAACTGAAAAACTTGAAAAATGTTCGGATTAAAAAATTGCCTGTTCAAAGACTTATTCATCTGAAAATAGAGAAACAACAGCGAATTTAAGAGTTTTTTGCCTTTAAGATAATGATATAAAGTTGAAGTATCTGTCATTTCAGAAATATTCAAAATAAATTTTCAACTCATGTCATTGTCTTTAAATGTCTTCGGATTTACATAACCCCATATAAGCCTATAATTCCGTTAAAACGCCACACATTCAGACTAAAACTTTCTTCTTTAAAACCAAATAACTGTTTCTAATTGATTGCATCAACTCAAAGACCTTTGGCGGCTGCAGAAATTTGAAATGGGAAGGCCACCGCCAAATTTTCGAATCTATTCTAGGTGGTATTCGACGTAACTGAAGCGAATGGCCTTTTCCATTTTTCAATCTTTACATTTGTCCATGTCAGCCCCTTCCAGAACTAAAGTCCAAGTTGAAAAAAAACTCAAGTATCAGCATTTTTTTTAAGGGGGCTCAACCATTTTCGAGTTTCTAAATTTATCAGGGTAAGAGAGGGTGGTCTTAGGGGCCTGGCCAACACGACAAATTCAACGAAACAAGACAACTAGACATGTAACTGTATCTTAATGAAAATAGACCACGTCGATTGTAATTGTCATACGAATTTGTGTCTTTGGCCATTTGGCACGGTTTTTGACTCAGACTGTCATTTGACAAAGGGAGGTAATCCTAGAAACTCTTCACTCACGGAGATAAGAAAAACCGTCCATGAAAATTCACTTACTTGAAAACATTTCACAAGTGATTCTGTCTTCATATGGCCTGGGGCATGTGTGAGGTACTATATGACATACGACAACCTATTTTTATTTGAATAGATTGATTTTTAAAACCAATATACAACACTTTGATTGAATGAAGTGCCATTAGGCCTGCTTTTAGAATCTACGACTACAGTCAGTGGCCAGTTTAAAAATTTAGAAAAGGAATAAATCGCTGTTTCACTTCTGTTCTATGGCCTCATTATGACCTTTTCTCTGATCACATGTATGTTGCCAGCAATAGTATTTGGATGGCATAGCCTTTGCCTTTGCCTTGATAAATTTGTTTCTTAGAACAGTAGATCCTGATAGCACTTGAACAAGTCAGACAACTTTGATAAAGTCAGACCTCATTGAAAGAGTATCTAATAAAAGTTCTTACCGAAATGTTATGTATATACCAGTACTTTGAATTTTAATTAACAAGAATAAAAGACCAAAATTTTTTTCAGGAATTGTTCCAGAAAATAGATCATCTGTTGGATAGTAATCCAGATGAAGAATTTACACTTTGATGAAGCTACATGGCTGTATGTTTTATCTGGCAATATGACATCTTGGTGGAATAATAACAGTGTAATGAATACAACAGTACATTATCTAAATATAATATGGATAATGTTAGAAGAACTTGATATAGAATATCTTAGCTGGGTATTATGGGTTGTTTATCCCATTGTTATATCCTTCCTGTTACCACTGATTATACTTATATTCCTGTACGCTTCTGTCTTATTTTTATATCTGTATCGTCAGCGAGCCCGCTTACAAGAAGCATATGCCAGAGACTTCTGGGATGGTGCTAGAAAGACATTAGCAGCATTGTGGTTAGGACAAGCCCGAATATGGCATGGTAATTATTCATATTTTTGTTATTATTCCGAAAAAAAATTACACATATTTTCTTAATGAGATTATAGAGAGGTTTGTATTGCTTTTTATGTGCTTCATAAATATTCTTTACTTCCATTTGTACTATTCCATTCTTATCTTTACAAACTTACATGTAAGATTGTATTGCCTTAAACGAAGACATTTTGTACCCAGAACACCAAAATATAACAGAGACTTTGTTTGTGTCCATTGCAGGTTTTGAAGTTCATGGTTTGAATAACATTCCTGAAGGACCTGCTCTTATAGTTTACTATCATGGTGCTATTCCTATAGATTTTTATTATGTACTTGCTACATGCATACTAGAAAAAGGGAGACAAATCTCTATTGTTGGTGATCGTTTTTTATTACATGTTCCAGGTAATTTAGTACTAACATTATTTGAATAAACTTATTCGCAATTTCATCTGAGGCTTTACCAGTGAAGGTATGATGCTTAATGCTTAATCTCACAGAATGAATTTTGACTGCAGGATTTAGGCCATAGCAATAAATGAAAAGGTGGCTTATATATATGTCATTTGTTACAAAGCAATTACAAATGGATAACAGTTATCTAATATGTTGTTCTATATTATGATGGTAAATAATTCTGTTTCTATGATAATAATTTTATTTCTAGGATGGCGTTTGTTAATGGAGGTATTTAATGTTACTCCAGGAACTGTTCAAAGTTGTGTGAATGTCTTGAATGAAGGAAATTTGTTATCAATTGCCCCTGGTATGTATGTTACTTTTGGTACTTTTGAGAGTTGTAACCATAAATATATAGGGGTGACTTCGATTGAATCTCTGTGGTCGAGCTAGAGTTGATGGAGAAATGACGTAATTATCTTCAGCGAGCAAGCCGAGTTTGATCGAGTTAAGGCAATATGGCAGGACTTTCCATGCTACCATGTTAACTCGTGTTAGACTCTCCAAATAGTGAGTGTCGGACCCGAGCTTCTAACTAGGTCAACTCTACAAAATATTACAGTTCGGTTGTGACACGAATGACTCGAGTCTAACCCGAGCTCCAATCGAAGTCACCATAGGATTCTTTACTTTTATTTCATAAAGGAAAATAGCAATATATAATTGAACTTGCCCATTCCTGAAAATTGAATAAACAAAAAAAATATCATATTCATGTACTCTCTGTTATTTGCCTTGATGAAAATGAGAAGATGTCTTTGGTACTAATAATGATGGGTTTGCCAAATCATAAGAATGGACCATTACATGTTTTGGAGATTTTTTTATGAGTTAATGAAAGGTAATCACAAGAATATGGCCAAGGCTGTCATTATTTTGCCATAGTATTTAATATAAGATTTTTTGCATTTAGGTGGTGTTCGTGAAGCTTTATTTGGTGATGAATATTATAGGATAATGTGGGCCAATAGAGTTGGCTTTGCCAAAGTTGCTCTTCAAGCAAATGTGGTAATTATATAAGTCAGTTAAAAAACCCCATAGTTTTGACAAAACTCATTGAACCAAAAGAGCCCATCTGTTTATAAAGCATACCAGAATATCAGTATAAATGACACATTTTTCTTAATGGATTTTTTGCTTGGGTCTTATGCTATTCATTTATTATATTCATTGTTACAAGAGCACATCTTGTATTGCCGACACAAGCTTATGAGCAAATGAGCAGGAGTTAAAAGGAATATATTTTTGAGTTGTTTCTGTAAAGAAATAAATATGTTAAGCTATTTTTCCAGCCTGTAGTTCCAATGTTTACTCAGAATTGTCGTGAAGCATTCCGTACTCCAAGTCTTGGTCGTTGTAAGTAGAATTATAACCTTCCAGAAAATTTTTCCTGTAGAGAATCACCATAGTTCATTTGATACTTTTATTTCATGCTAATAGCCGTATGACCCTGTTAGTGGACAAAGAAGACATATAGAAGAACTAATATTCGAAGAGCTTTAGAAAGCAAAAGGGAGATTTTTAGTAATTAAAATTATCCAGTTGGTAATATAAATTCTAGAATATTAGTGAAATATTAGTATATAACTATTACCTATTTTGTTTTAGCACTACTTAGAAAGTTCTATGAGTGGACCAGATTACCTATAGTCCCTATTTATGGTTTCTTTCCTGTTAAAATGAGGTATGTACAAAATCCAAATTTATTTATGGAATTTTTCCATCAAACTGTGACCATGACACGTTACAAAATATCAAAATGCCATTAAAATTGGAAAAATCCATTTATCAAATTCCTAATAGGCCTATTGGGTCATTATTTTTTACAATAAAGCGAAACCAAGAATTAATTTACCATGTCTTCAAAAAATGAAACATCTGTTTACCAAAGCAAGACATGCTTTTTTAAACAATTAATTTTATATTGAAGTGGCGCATATTCCCCCTTTAATTTCCATCTGATATCCTAATTTCAGATCATTTCTCGGTAAACCAATTTATCCTGAACCTGGAATTACTCCGGAATTATTCTCTCATCAGGTAATATTTCATTTCAGCATCAATTTGCACAATTTCAGTCAGATGTCTGTAGTTCCTGCAAAATAATGCTATCATTGTCCCCAAAATTTAGAAAACTTCTTTACAAACACATTAAGTTGTCTTTAAGAGTTGCTAACCTTCCATATAATGCTAATTGCTAATCCTATATATTCTTCATTGTCTAGGTTCAGAAAGCAGTAGAAGAATTAATAGGTGAACATCAGACTATACCTGGTAGTATTGTCAGAGCTATGATAGAAAGAATTCCTGGTATAAATTCTCAGTAATATTTATTTATTTTTTGTCACCGGTGTACTGTGTACATTGTTATTGTTGTTTATTTATATACAAAGAGCTATAGGCTTTTTGTAATGTTGAAAATATTTGAAGAGTTTAATGCTATATAAAATGTTGGAAAATATCTGAATTTCTAAGTGATAATGTAATTCTAATGTTATATATGTAATTTTGAAAATAAGTGTTCAATGCTATCATTTATTGCATGATGTTATAATGTTATGTTCAAAATCACTGAAATGTTGAAGATACATGTATCTATAATGTTAAATGTATTATATATTGTGTAATGTTGTGAATGATTGAAACTTAAATTTAATTCTGAAAATATTCAATGCTAGTTGTGATGTTGAAAATACATGAAATTTTCAAATACAAATGCTAGATGTCGTGTTGGAAATGTTCAGTGCAAGATATCATGTTTGAAATGTTCAATGCTAGATATCATGTTGGAAATGTTCATTCTAGATATCTTGTTGGAAATGTTCATTCTAGATATCATGTTGGAAATGTTCAATGCTAGAATTAACAAAATGTGAAAAACTTTCTTTGATCCAAACTGTTGTTTCAAATTCTAAAAATTTAAGCTCTCAGGGCTGAAATAACTTGAAATTAAGCTTGACATTTCTTAGATTAAAACAGGTTTTGTATAATATTTGAGTAAAGGCATGTGCAATAGTACAATCAATGGAGGCAATATTCTGTATAAGATGTGTGATGAAGGGAATACATACCATAGATGTGGCAGGTTTTGTAATCTTTGTTTAACAAATACCCAAATTATGTACAGTTTTTTGACAATTTAGTTAAGGCACTTCATCAAATTATTTTAACCAATGGAGACATTGTTCATTTTTGATATTCAAAGTCAAATATCCCCTTTTAGTATTGGGACCAAAGTTTCTTTTGATCATTAAATATATGAATTTCCTACTGATGAAGAGATTTTTGTATTTTGTTATATCCCATTAATAATATTCACATTTCATTATCATTTTGACATAAATATGCAGATATGGGGTATATTTGAAACGGAAACAAAGGCTCGTATTTTTTAGTAAGAATTGACACGAAAAATAGACCTAACATGTTATATAGCAATAAAAGGAGACTACCTCTTAAAATAAAATTTAAATTCTCAAAATTGGGCAATAAGTGTATATATTCATCATGGTGTCGTAAATAAAAAATAGAATCTCTATATAAGATGATATTTTCAGAATTACTCTGTTAAATAGATTATTACTTAGTTTTGTGGATTTATTGGATTGTAGAGAGATTCAGTTGTATAATTTTGATACCAGGTAAGTTCACTGTTGAACAAAGACTTATTTTAGCCAAGTTTAAAAATTAATTTTTTTTGCTCATCCTAAGAGGAAGTATCCCTTTAAGCAACAACTCTGGTGAAAAGATTGTATGATTTGATATTAATTTTGTACAAAATGAAAAAATGTAGTTTTGACTGTGAAATGAACTGTTCTTGTGACTAGTTATGAAGACATTGTAATAAATTTATCTAAAAATTTACCGTTTTTTCGTTTTTTTATGCACAACTTGTCTAGGCAGTCTTTTACAATCTAGTCTTATTAGATAAAATTATACTACATGTCCTATGTCTCTCATCAGAGAAGCCTGTAGTATACTTTAGGAACTATTGACTCATTGAGTTTAATGTTTGCTCGCCAACCCAAAGGTCAAGGGTTCAATCATATCTTCGGATTATCAAGTGCGTTGTCAATGAAGCTTGGGGTTCACATAGATAAATTTTATAGTAGGCAGCATATAAGTACTACTGCTGAAACGACATGTTTAAGCAGCAAGTGTTTCTAAGAGTGGATAAAACGAAGGTGTTATTGAAATTAAAGGAACACTTTCTGTTCCAGATTATGCATAGCAATATTAATAGAGAAAATTTCAGTGCATTTACACTATGACCACGGACTCTAAGTATTGCTTATTACTGTTAGCGAAACATTAGGTAGGCATCAATTCGAATAGTCTTGAATCTTCGATGGAAAATGTTGTGTGAATTGTCTCTTTAACCGGAAACAGTAAATTCAAGATGGCGGATGGAAACCAATGACGCTTTTTTTTTGTTTCACAGTAAGTAATTGTAAAGGCATTAATAGTTTATAGGCTCTATCAAATCAGATCTGTAAAATTTCAAGCATGAACTGAAGTAGGCTAAAATGTCCTAACTTTTCAACTATATTTGAAAGATATTTCCCTTTTTAAAATGTCTTTTTTGACTTTGTTTTGTTTACGTTTACGTCCAAATTATTTTTAGCAACTCTCCGAACACACACTGACACAATTCACAAAAAGATTTCCTAATTGAATTTTTTCTGTCGATTCACAAATAAATATTCAAAAAAATTTTTTTAATGCCATTGCGTTTGTATACCTGGATATTGATCACAACCAAAGGCAAAACAGACAAATTTTGAGAATGACTTGCAGTAGTATTTTTGAGTTGCTATTTCAATCACAAAATGATTGGCATTTCATTTGCCTAGATAATAACAAGTTGTTGCATGATATTAAAATAGTACTTTTAAGCTCAAAGAAGCATTGGTAACTCTGGGTTGTAATAGGGTTTAATCCAAACTCCTCTATTTTCAGTTGAATTCTTGATTGGATCGTGTTTGCTTATTTTAAGAATCTGTATATATCTATATTTTTTTCCTAGGTTTGTTAATGTTATAAGAATGTAGATAACAACCAGAATTTGATATTATCTAACAGTTTGTAGCAACAGCTCTAGCTTATTAATATCCTCATATCAAGATGGATGACATGGTGGCCTATGATCCACCAGAGTCTTTATGGAGGTTAATTGAAGATCATATATCTCCACATGAAAATGAAGAAATAAGAAGAATGTTGGGAGAATCTTTGATAGAACAGAGCATTGATTTACACCAGGAGGTAGGTTTAGTGACTATAAAAAGCTATTGGTATTAGAGAAGGTAAAAGCAGACTCTCAGAAGCAATGGCACAGGCATCTGAATATTTCTTACCTTGAAGAACATTGATCATAGTAATTCATTCTTATTTTCCTAATTACATACAGGTACCATATTTATGACAATTATAAAGTGATTCTGTGCTGTGTCTGACATTGGATCTTTATAGTGTGGTTGACGGATATTTAGGATAAAATCCATTATCAGGAATTAAGAGCTCTTTCATATAAGCTTAATGATAAGCATGACCAAATGTTTTACGGAATACTTTTCTGTTCATAATGCCATTAAGTGTGTAATGAGGGAATATATTCCACAGCAGGGCATATTGTTAGAGAAAAAAAAAATAATGCCCAAGCTTAGAAAATTGCCAAAGCATTATTTTTGTAAACTCTTTGGACTATCCTTGATCCGGTCAAAATTTTAGCTTATCTTAAGATAGATGAGTCTAGAAAAGAAAAATCTTCCTCATGTGAAAGTTCATCAGCTGCAACCAATGTTTCACAAATATGTTGTTTTGGATTTTGGGTTTAGTTTTGCAGTTCAAATCGTTGGTATCAGTACTTGGTTTATTTATATACATGCAAACCTTTTTTCAGGTGGAAATGTTATTAGATATTTGGAGATCAGTTAGAGAAGAATCAGAAAGTAAAGTTAAGCCAGTAGAATTACCAGAACCCCCTGAAATTAGAGACAGATTGATTAAAGAGATTCTATTCTTTATTAATGGTGTAAAAGAAAAAGCAGCACTTAATGGATTGTAAGTAGGAGATCTTTAATCTATGGTCGATTTTATTTCGATGGCCGAGGATTTCGTTTTCTGTTAAAATTCTTCAAAATGCAGCATTTAATAAAGTTGCATGTAGTGTCACAAAAGTTCACAATATCATTACACATGCGCATTATGACAACAATAATACAGGCATTAATCCGTCTTAATGTAAGCCACTACCGTCAAATAGTCAAACTAAGCTGGCTTAACTATTCAAGCCAGTTTTAAGCCACTTCCGAAGTAGGTACACGTTTAAGGCAGCTTATGCTTAACCAGTCACATTCAGACTATTAAACATACAGAGCTCAAAGAACGGTTGATAGTTAAACTGACTTAACTTAAGTCATCTGAAAGCACTAATAGAGACAGGCTTTATATGGTCAGCTACATGCAGAAGATTATGTGTAGATATTGTATTGGTACAAAGTGTTAAATTTGACCAAATTTTATTTTTATGCTTGATTTCTAGTGATCCTGAAAAAGTTGTTTCTGGTCATAATAAAGATGTTATAAGTTATGCTCTTAAAACACAGGGCACCAGTAAGTAATATTGTTACTGAGAAAATTCTATATCACGAATTCAGTATATCTAAAAAATAAATAGGCACAGAAGCTCTACTTAAAATTAATTATGCCTAGCATAAAATGGATACAGATTTACAACCTGTCAAAGTCAACAATTCATTTTTATTCTTCAAAAATTGTTTCAACCCTGTTGTTGTTTAGGTTTCATGAAGAAATTGTTCATAATATTATCTACAACTTAGCAAATGTAAAATATGATTTAATTTCAGCATCTAGACCAGGTACACCAAGGTCTACAGATTCTGGTAGAGAAACACCATTGATTCCTTCAGATAAAAGGTAAGCTTGCCATTACCAGATATTGATTTATAGGGAGGAAATGGATTATTACCGCCCACCTTTTTGCTGCACATAGAACTAACAAAAGACAGACAAAGCCATTTTTGGCAAGAATTTCCCTACACTTTTCAATTCCCAACTGTCGAGGGATGTTTGATAATCAACGTCTGTACGGGTGTTCCATTCATCCTGCATGAAAATTGGCTTGATAGATACTATCATGTTGACCTATGCTGAGATACTACCCCAGACCCCTAAATTAACAAGGAAGCATCTGACACTGTAACTCAATTTAGTGTAATGTATGTGATTTTGCACTTGAAAAAACTTTTCATAATCTAAATTTGTTAATGTCTTCCCAACAGACTCAACTGCAAAAAAATTATCTATATCATACTTTAAAGAATTTTTTCAGTTTTTGATTGAAATTATTTATTTACAGGTTATATGAAGAAACAGAAGTTAAACGTGATGTTATTTCAATGAATGATAAGCTAAACTTTCTACAATTTGACCAAGTTGTTGAAAGTCTAAGGTTTGTTTATAATATATTGATTATAGTTATGATAATGTTGGAATGACTTTGCATTGATAAAAGTATCAGAATTTTTAACTCTCCCCTATGAGAAATTGTAGGCCTACATGAAAATTTCAAAAGTGATTTGATTTTCTTATATTTAAGGAGTCACCTAGAAAAAGAAGTAGAACAGTTATTACTAGATACTCAATACATACAACAATGTATTGATACAGAATCAGCATTTCCTGGCACTGGTGATTCTATAGAGAGAGAACCAACTTTAACAGGTAACATATAAAAGCTATAATCCTTATCAAAATAATATACTTAAAGATACATCCATCCTTTTGTTTTGTGGAATCTAATTCGCACATCATCATAAAGATAATCATTTATCTTAAGAATGAGGAATTGAAGGCTTCCCTGAATGGCATTAATTTATGAAATCTGACGAATTAAGTCTAAAATCTTAAAAATATTAATAAGAGGTCTTTGAAACAAATGGAATCATCAGAAATCTGTTAATCTGAGAAACTCTTTTTAACACTGGTTCCAAACAGAAGTTATGTGTTTTTTTAAGAATTTTGACCAGATTTTTTGTGATGCTATATGAATGGTATATTGATAATGTATCTATTGTAGAATTAAAAGAAGAAAGAAGTTTATTAGAAAAGGAATTAATACCTGATATACAAGTCAAACCCAGGTATAACTCTAATTTTGTTCTTTGTTTATTATTAAATGGAAGAAAATAGAAATATTAAGGGGTAACTGTTGTCTGTTGGCTTTACAAGCTGGTTCAATTTTGGCTATCCATATTGCTATTCAGAAAGAAAATTTGATGTCTGGTTCATGTGCTGCAGGTAAGAGGGGCCGACATGGTGCTACAGGCTATGCACGTTAAAGATCCCTCAACAGCTCGAAATTGAAAAAGAGCAGGCTAATGCCACTGTCCTGGCAAAATTTCCCTCATTGCACCCTGCATGGCGTTGCCGTCTTCATTAGCCCACATGGTGCAGAAAAGTAGGACGTAAAACTCCATTCATTTCATTTCATTTCATGTGCAATTATATAAAAAAAAGCACCTGTGGCTGAAGGTGACAGTCTTAACATTATTGGCGTTATCTGCCTTCGAAAAACTAATTACTTTATTTAATTGTATTTAAACCATAAATCTGATCTTCATTCTGAAAATTGAAGCCATTGGCTGTCTTCTGAAAAAGAAAATATTAAGAGATTGAACGTCTTGACAATGTCAACTTAGTACTTATACCTTGTATTCTCTATCGTACAATCCAATCAAATTGCTTCATTTACAATCTTCCACGATACAAGAAAGGTGATTATTGTAGTCAAGGTATAAGTTTGTATTAGGTTGAAAATGTAAAGATTGGGAAGGAAAGGGTGGAGAAAAACTGAGATAAAATATTTTAATGTCAAATAAGCTAAATGATTGGTATCCTTAATTCTGATATGTCTTTCAGGAACCATCTGGCATCACCAAGTTCTAAAACAAGACCAAATGTACATGTTATTACAAGTAAACCCAGTCCAATGAAAGCTTCACATAGTATTTCTTCTACAGTTTCAAATCTTCCACAATTACCTCACAAAAAATTCCTTCATGAACAATTAAAATTCAAACCTGGCGCCAATACCTCTAGACTGAAAGTAGTTCCAGTTAGTAAAGTTATTGATCGGTATGGTGAATGCTCAAGATTAAAGTTAACCCCATCACCACCTTCTTCAGATCGTAGTGTTACACCTGAAAGACCAAGTTCTGCTGCCAGATTTAGACGAATGGTTCTAGAGTGTCGAGAAGGAGATTAGCAGGAGGAAGTTAAAGGGATTGTAAAGAGGTTTTCTACTTTTTATATGTATCGGGGACACTGATATCACCAATTTGCACCATTCCAATTTTCAGCAAATGTAAGTGATGACTATATAAAACTTCACTCTTGCAAAAGCTGCTATTGATATATAAGGACCTTTGCAATAATGACGTCATAAAACGTATAGGTTAAGTGAAATTGCAATTCAATGCTATAAGTGTTCCCTATACACATAACATTTTTCGAGAATCTCTTTACTTCCTTCATAAGTGAATGCGATAATTGAATGAATGAATAGAATTTGTTGTGATGAGTGTATTTTTTATTATGTATTTTAACAGAGCTGGTTGTACCAGGCTACGTATTCTTAAAACGATCTAAGCGATAAGATATCCTAGAAACAGTGTTAGAAGTTAAGATCCAAGGACATCCCAGCGCAAAAATCATTTCAAAAATATGCAGACAGAATATTGAAAAGGTTACTGCATATAATGAACTTTCCAGAGTAAAATTGTACTTTGAGTTATTAACATTAATCTAATTTAAGCTGGCACAAAATTTGCATAGGTTGGTAGATTTTACACTCAATAAAACGGCAAGAGTTTGTCAGCTTAAATTAGTTGAGAAGTTAATTAAGAAATTTTGAATATTTTTTTCACAAATAGAATTCAATAATATCCATATTACCAAGGATGTCATCCAATAGTGGTACCAGCCTCCTGAGAATGGGGTATTAACAAGGGGCAAACTTATAAATTGGTATACAATTGGGAGAACAATTTTTCAAGGGGCCTCCCTGTACCCCTCTGGCACTAAAGTTTTCTTTTTTTTTTTTTTGGAAGGTTTTCAATCAGTTAAAATACCTTAGATTCACTGTGCTGGAATACATATTTGTTTTTTTATTATATTGAGAGTGTTTTTTGTAAATAGAATATTATTTATTGTGGTTGAATCACGTCTTGTTATTTTTATACCTCACATGTTTGTATATTGTAGATTGTAAATAATACGAGTGACTTATCTAGTGAAAATAAATATTTGATTTAAAAGCAAACGTTTTGCCTCTGTGTATTATAAGGGTCCTTCCAATGGGATTAAGTATTAGTATTGTAGCCTGAAAGCACCATTCAGTGGCAGCCCCAGCCATCCGAGACTGGGCGTACAAGTAGAGGGGCAGAAATGACCAATTGACGGCGACAACTATTGGGATTGAGATTCCAAAAACCCCAGACTCAAGTAGGAGTCTCTAATAGAGGTCTACCAAGAATTAATATGGTGCATTCTTTGAGACAAATGGTGTAAAAAAAATAATAATGATCAATTCCATGCGTTTGAAGTGAAATGGAGAGCACAACACATTGAGTCCGTGTGGTGACAAAGCTCCCGGAGCAGAATCACTTCGAGTTCATGTGGTAAACACAAGATCGAATCATCTTAAGTACATGTAGTGAAAATGAGACTACAATCACCTCAAGCTAATGGAAACACTGCATTCATTCTCATAGAGCTACACATGGTCTTATAATCTCAGTATACCACCTCGTAGCATAGATCCTGGTGAGCCAAAGTCGTTATCGTTATTGGGATCACACATTTCTCGGTTTGCATTTTAAAACAAAGATTAATAGATTAACAACACATTTATTTATTACACCACGAATACATTTTCTAATACCATTCACTACATTTATCCACCCATTTTGAGCATTTTTCATATGAGGTTATTTTTTCACTTTCTAAAGTTTTTAAAAGCGGGGACATTGATCTTGTTTTTGGGTATGGTTGCTTCTTTTGATGTGGCGCCGTGTTTATGGGACGCATCTTATTTCGCTTCGTAGTCATGGGATAAGTATGTACCACAGTCACGCCTCCAGCATGGTTCAAATAGGTAGCGTGTTTCGGTTGTAGTGCTTCTTTAGCCTTGTCCATATTGGAAACCGGGGATGATGATCCAGATCCGAGGATTTCAATCTCGGAAGAATTTAGTTCCCCCGTAGTATACATTTGTTGGGGATTCAAGATGCGATCTATCCGTTTTAAAGTCACATAAGTTTTTTCCCTACCAATATTTTCCGGGTCGTCCAAAAGACCAGTTTGCGGATATTGAAAGGATGATATTGGTGGTAGAGGTTTTGGTGGTTTCACCACTCTGACCAAACCATTTCGTGATCTGAAATCAGTTTCAGTTCGTAGATCTCTTTTGTGCTTGTTCATTGCCACCCTGCTGGAAGGTACATGATGGTTATATGCCCTAGCTCTTGGTTCATCTGGTGCGAGCTTAGAATCCATACCAAGATTTCTGGATCCCCAAGGATTAAAGTAAAGTTCCTCGAGATCAATTGATGTTTTCGGGTCGCGTTCTGCTATATCTGGAAGAAGATGTTGCCTCCTTATGATCAAATCATTATTACTATTATAGTTCTTATTTCGATTGTTATTATTGTTAACATTGACACGCTGTCTATGGATCTTGTTCATCACCTCGGTATGCTCGTTTAACAATTCAGAATAGGAGCGCAGTGAAGACCTACTGGATGTAACATTCCTGATTTCTCTTGAAATAGTACCAATAGTGGATCTATCGGAAAAGTCTTGTGAAAACAATGGTGTTGCTCGAGTGGGTGGTATTATTGGTTTGATTGGCGTGGATGTCTGTAACAATTGAGGTTCATCATATCGAAAACTGGAAGGAACTTTCTTGGATGGACTGACATCTTCTGTTTCAACTATTCTAGGAATCACGCTGGTGCCTCTCCATTGTTCTTCTGCCAGAGTGTTTACCATTTTGGTATAGTCTGCACCTTTTTTCACCTCTGCCAGTCTGGTAACCTTGCTTGGATCTTCTTGGTTCGAAGACTGTGGTGAAGAAAGATCCAGCTTGGCGTAGTGCTGTTGAATCATATTCACTGCCATGAATGCTCTATAAATGATTTTAAATCCGAAAGTAAATCATTTAATGCACAACCTTGTCTAAAGTAAACATCTTAAACATTCACTGTTATCTTGAAGACATTTCAATCGATCAGCGTATCATGTTTATATGGTAATATACAATGGGTATATCCTCTATAATATATTGAATGTCTTCTAATCTTCGTTCAATAAATAATCAATTAAAATAATACAATAGTCAACCTATATACTATCATTTTAACCTTAGAGTATCCAAGTCACATATTAAAAGTTCACAATCTTCTATTGGTAACATAAAAATTACAAGAGATACGGGTCACTGTTCATTAAGATATTTTTCCACTGATATTTTTTTATGATCAATCAAAATTTCGCAGCAAACCGATTATTTATTTACAATGTACATTTCAAACAAACAATATCAACTAAACGGTCCTTATGTGGACATGGTTTGTAATAATATTCACAACATTGAAATCTAGTATCCATGTAAAAGTTCACAATTTCCAAAAATTATAAGAGATACGGGTCGCTGTTCGTTAAGATATATCCACTGATAATTTTTATAACCTTTAAAAAGGCAATCAAATCTTCACAGCAAAAAGATTCTTTACAATGTATATTTCAAACAAACGCTGTCAACTAAACGTTCCTATGTGGATATGGTTTGTAATATTGTTCACAACCATTGAAATCTAGTCAATGAATAACTAACCGTACCTATGATATTATGATATTGTCGTATAGTATTGTATTGAAGAAAAGGAATATCAATATAAAAGAATGTTTGATTATTGGCATTGTTAAAAAGCTCTATATCATAAGAGATTATAGAAGACTATAATATGACAACGTTATGGATAGAAAATCTATAATGATTAACCAGTTATCTCGGGTCAATACCATATAAGTATGCAGTAGGATGATGGCAGAATAGAAATATAATTCATTGTAAATGAAATGAAATGAATGGAGTTTTACGTCCTACTATTCTAATGAAAACGGGCAACGCCATGCGGGGTACAATGAGGAAAATTTTGCCAGGACAGCAACATTAGCTCTTTTTCGATTTCCAACTGTCGAGGGATCTTTAACGTACACAGTTTGTGTAGCACACTGGGCCTCGGTTTATTGTCCCATCCGAACAACTAGACGCCTTTACCCCTAACCTGCATCACTGACGGGGAAACCGGGTTGAAAAATCCGAAGGTGTCATCTCGACCTATTCCGGGATTGAACCCCTTCAGGTTAGCAAGCAAGCATCTGACTCACTGAGCTACCGCGGCTCCTTCTTCATTCAAGTAAAACATGTTTGTAACAGTTTTCTAAAAATAATCAGGTTAAGGGGCCACAAAAAGGGGGGCATTTAGACACTGAAGAACTCAAGAATATGAAGGGCCATGGCTCACTCAAGGATGCTACTGGTTTCAAACTTCCTTTAAAAATACAATAGAAATGAATTTGGAGGGTCTTGCACGTCTAACGAGTTTGAATTTTGCTATGTCAATGGACATTTTTAGTTGAAAAGAATTTTTAAATTGTTTTTCTGAATTCACTTTATAAAGCGCTCCTAGGCATGGGCATCAGCAGAATTTTTGTTACTTCAAAAATTGACCTTGGAATGATAAATTCTGAAGTATAACTGAATGAATGTCTAATGGTTATTTCGGTAATAAATCTAAGCCTTAAGAAAACTGCTCAATTTTTACATCTTTTTGGCTTTTTAAATGTTGATCCATTTGCTCCATAAGTGCGGATGTAAGCCTATGCATTTATTCAGCTATGGCCTGCCCATATGCAGAGCCGTATATACGGCTCTGCCCATATGTGAACTACGGTGATTGTGGTCTGTAGGATATCTCCAAGGGAGACAACTTAATCAAATTTATAATGGTATTTTGAATTTGTCGATAAAATGTCTTATTAGCCGTTACTTAAGTTGGCGATATTCAAACTATGATTTCTATTTACAATTTGTAAACATAAATATATTTAATATTCAAAATGCTTTATTTCATCGACTTTATGGACCATGTAGTAAAAAAAGGACTGAAACGAACTATGCCCAGAAATTGTACAAAACTACACCTATTACATAATCAGACATGAAAGTTCATAACTCTAGCTTTGTTGATATTATTTACTACTTTTAAGTAAAGTTAAACTTGTATTTTGTTTTTCTTTCATTGATTAAGATCTTGCGACTGTAACTATAAAATATAATCGTTCATGCCAATTATGGACAGATTTTCGTTCCAGTATTTATTTTGGCCACGTAATTTTTACCGGTAGGATTAAATGTAAACACCGGGTTTTTTTTTCACCCATAATATATTATTTGAAACTTGTTGTATCCTAATTATAGTTTTTCCAGGTAAATAAATAGATTGGCTAATTATAGGCAAATGAACCAATTATGAACAGCGGAATATGGGCAGGCTACCACTACCAGTGCCGTCCACAGCCTACCCTACATCTCAGCTGTTTGACAGTATGGAAGTTTACCGCACTTCAGACAGATGGTAGACGTTCTAGATTAAAATTACGAGTAAGCTTATGATGTCAACAGTTTAATCGGGCACGTAAACTGGTTTCTGTTTTCATCAAAATGCTAAAATTAGAAATTCTCTACAGAGGAAGTGCCCTCAGCCTTCTGATTGTTGAGTAGTAACACTGTCAATGAGAAATTTAAAACAAGTGACCTGTGGCGGCTGTGGTGACATTCTATTGCTACCGGAGTGCCTGTTTACTTAGTTATCTCTAATTACTCTCACCCTAAACTAGAAGTGTCATTAATCCTCTTATATTTTACCTTGATTGTAAAAGGATTAAGTTAACTTTTAGTTATCATAAAATTCTTTGATTTCCTTGATCATTAGCATTAGCCTAGTTTATCCAATGAATCTGTAATGAAATAATTGATAAATTGACATTGTCTCTTCCTTAGAGGCAGTAGTGAAATAGCTAGTGGTTCTTTTATTTCTGTTGAAAATGAGTTCTCATGTGAACAACATTGACCATTCCACTCATCATATTGGTAGTCATGAAGGACATCAGGTAAGCATATGCTATGAACTAAATATTGTGAAAGTTTTAAGAGCTTTTATTCTTACAGACTAAGGGCCTTACCGGGATGTAATTTAATCTAAATTATTTCTTTATTAATGTCTGTTTGTGTGTTGAATTAAATTCACACAAATTTTTATATGAAAGAAATTGGTTTTATCAGCTTATATTTGCACTGAAAACATTTGCTAGTACATACTTTTATGTTTTTATTTGAATATCTCCTACATACATTATTCTTAATTTAATTTCAGGCATTCTTCCATACAGCATATGGTAATTACATGATATTCTATGGGTGGGTGTTAAAAGATAGCAAATGTAAGATATTTTCATATATTTTAAAAATGCACCTCTTTGAATCATTTATTATTCTATATCCAAATAAGAAAAAAAATGATATAGACTTAACTGATTGTTTGACAAAATCCTTTCCAGTTATTCATGACACTTTTAAGAACGAAAATATGACATCTTGTTCAAAGCAATTAGATGACTTTTTTCAGCTATTTCGATTCTTTATCATTGCAGCTACATTTTTATGGTGCATATTTTTAGCTATATTAGCTATTGCTTTTCAATGTTTAAAGTTTGTTCGTCACAAATTGGGGAGAAAATGTGCAAATTTGAATTGCAGGTAAGATCCGTAGTAATAATTTTTTGTGCTCATACATATTGTATGTGCTGTATTGAACTTTAGGCTAATCACTATGAATTAATGTTCCTTATCAGTCTAATGTTTGAATGAAACCTCATGGTGATGTAACAGCACAAATGAATTTTGATGAAGCTGTACTATTAGAGATGACTGCACTGTTTGAGCATGTTTAACAGATCATGCATGTCAATATTTCGAGCACATTTTGGTGAAAAATATTACAATTATTGTTCATTTTTGTTTTTTTCATTTTTCAGGAGATATATTTTAAATAAGAATCATATAGTACAGACATTTTTGTATGTTGTACAATTTGCTACAGGATATTTAGTAATGTTAGCTGTAATGTCGTACAATGCCTGGGTCTGTACAGCAGCTATTGCTGGTCTGGGGTTGGGATATTTTTTCTTTGGGTGGGGTGAATTTGAAGATGGAAAGAGAAGAGAAATGATGATATTACATAAGAAGACATTTGATTGTAAAATTGGTGAAGGTCAAGAATTAGAGCCATTAAGTAAAGATGTATCTAGTGATACTTTACTAACAACTGTCACTACTAATAGTGGAGGTGTGGCTTGTTCTTGTGATGTCACTATGTAAAATGGTATTTAAAACTGATACTACCTCTTAGAATGAACATAAAATTTAAATTCTCAAACTTTACCGATATCTGGTGTCAAAACTATACAGCAAAATTCCTGTATAAATTATTTTAAGCGATTTTCAATAATTACTTGTTGTTTAATGGAGAATTACTAAGTTGAATGGATTATCTGATTGTAAAGAGATACCATTATATAATTATGGCACCAGGTCCTGGTCAAGTTTGAGAATTTAAATTCGATGTTTATTTTAAGGAGGTATTTCCCTTCAAGATGTGAACAATAATTATAATTATTATTAAGAGCTTTTGTAAACCATACCAGAAAATCCAAAATAGTCTATGTGCTTTCACATCTGAACCAAAACTGGTTAGATTTTTGACCAGTCTTGTTTTTGTTATATCAAATTATATTGAGCATTAGAGTTTATCAAAAAGGTTTATATTGGTGCTTTATTTTGTGTCTTTTTTTTTTGTATTGCTATGTAAATTGTTTTGTTTTTGTATTGCCATGTGAATTGTGGGTTTGTATTGCTATGTAAATTGTTTCGGTTTTTTATTATTATTATTGTTGCTATGTAAATTGTTTTGTTTTTGTATTGCTATGTAAATTGTTTTGTTTTTGTATTGCTAAGTAAATTGTTTTTAAGTTTGTATTGCTATGTAAATTGTTTTGTTTTTGTATTGCTAAGTAAATTGTTTTTAAGTTTGTATTGCTATGTAAATTGTTTGTTTTTGTATTGCTAAGTAAATTGTTTTTAAGTTTGTATTGCTATGTAAATTGTTTTGTGGTTTTTTGTATTGCAGTGTCAATTGTTTTGTTTTTGTATTGCTATGTAATTTTTTTTTTTTGTATTGCTATGTAAATTGTTCTGTTTTTGTATTGCTATTTAAATTGTTTTGGTTTTTGTATTGCTATGTCAATTGTTTTTTTTTTGTATTGCTATGTCAATGGTTTTTTTTTTTTTGTATTGCTATGTCAATTGTTTTGGCTGTGGAAAGTGATGTAGGTTGTGAAACATTATTTTGTAACGGTATGATGCCTCAGTATAGCTTTATGTCTTGCTTTCAATTTTCCTTGAAATATCTGCTTACCAACTATCTCTTCAACATGGCTGAAAGTATTACTTATTTCTACTGTATAAATCTCTTAAAAGGGACTGAAATGAAAAAATGAAGGAGTTTTACGTCCTACTTTTATTAGGGACTGAGTGTGGTAAATAAATGTCCATGTGATTTTCAATTAACTCATGAACATTACAATAGTAGGCAATCCCGCTTTTTAAAGGTCGTTTTGATTGGTTAAAAAATACAAAGCTGTTTGGATAAAGTAAACCTTGGTCTCATCTATTTATTGAAAAATACTGCATTAAATAAATGGTTAAAATTTCTATCAATTATATTATTGTCTTATATTTTATTTTCCTGAATTGTTGATTAATTTTCGGAAATACATGTGATACAAGCATTAAATACATATGTCTGTTATTTTTTATCTCTCAGGCACAAAACCATAATTTACCTTCTTTATTGAAAACCTTTCATGTCATGTTTAATCATGAAATATATATATAATAAATGTATAATTTATAAAGTCCACAGCTGATCTAGTCATTGATTATATTTTGTTATATTTTCTATGATACAAGTACCGATGTCTGATTTTGTATTAAGTTTGTGATATATTGATAATATTATTCTTTTACTTAAAGAGATTGTAAAGAAGTTTTTTAACTTTTTATGTGTATCAAGGAAACTGATCGTATCAATTTGTATCACTCTATTTTCAAATCAGATGTCTGTAGTTCCTGCAATGCAACTAAGACTTTGTTTTAAGACATCACTACTTAAGGGCCTATATAATAATAGAAGATTTTGTCATCAGACGCTTAGTTTTAGTGGAATTGAAGGAACCACAGATGTCTGATTGAGAATGGGAATGGTGCAATCAGTGTCTCTGGAAACATATATACTTACGAAAACCTCTTTACAGTCCATTAAGTCAAAGAGTTATTGCTTATTATTACTTAAAGGGTATTCTTGAGAATCTCACAATATTTTTTCTAAAGTTATTTGTTTGTTTTTCTTCCTTTTTTTAAGATCATAAATATATTTATTTTGAATACAACGATAGAGTGTTAAAACCTAAAATCACCCCTCATTATTGTATTATTTATTTATTGAATTTGACAAAGTATTTTCTTGCTTTTATTTATATAATTATATTGTTTATGTTATTTTGGAATATTTCTAGTTTAATTATCATTCTCTTGATAAGCAACCAGTATCATGTGAAATATTGAGTAAAGACATTTATAAATCGTCAATGTTTTATCTTGCCTTTTTATTTTACACCTTATATCTAAATGTCAACATGTCTAAAAAAATTTTGAACACTATGTTCAGTTACATATTTCTGTATCTAATTGTCAAATAATTATCTGAGATTTAATATCAATTAACAGTGATTTAATAAAGTAAAAGACAAACCATTTGCATGCCAATATTATGTGTAAGCTTATATTATATTTTTGGAAGTGTTTTGGGCTCTGGGTTATTCTTTTTGTCAAAAATAAACTTTTTGTAAAAAAACTTGTTTTTATTTTTAAAAATTGCATATGCATACTTACTATTAAATCAGATAGCATATGATGTACTGTAACACATTTCTGATAACCATTAACGTCGCTGTACCAAAAATTAATCTACAATTGTAATTTAAAACCTATATTCCAAGTAATTGCAAAATCATCTACCAATTACCCTCAGTAACTGCAATTGTTAATTTGTATTTTTTGACATCATGACAAACTGGCTGCCAGATTCTGCTTGGCTGAAGGTCAGCTTACGTCGCCACAATAACCATTGGTTCCCACCATGATTCATCTCAAGAGTTCTGTTTCTTTATAGTTTGGGATAACAGGCATAAACACAAATTAATTTGATTTACAACCAAGATAAACCGAAATCCCAAAGACCACCAGTCGTCAACATCTGATTCATTTCAAGAAGCCGCTGAATCATAAAGGAGGCGTAAAGTATTTACCACAATTGATAGCAGTGATTACTTCAAAGACAGCCATCTTCCTGTTGAAGTTTGGACAATAAAACTCACAAAATCTGTTGAATACTCGAGAAAATCAATTAATATTTTCCACCAGACTCACTTGCTTATCAAAATCACAGATTAGAAATGGGATCAACTACTGCAGCAATGATGGTGTCGAAGATGATGTTAACCATTGGTTTATTTTTTGGCTTGGTATCATTGGCAATATTGGCATGGATTTCTATTTTGGCTCTGGTATTGATCATCAGCTTTGTATTTGTTACAACCCTACTGACAGTGGCAGCTACGCTGGTTTTAATAACCGTAATAATGGTCACATTTGTAATCGTTATAAAATTAACTGTAATGGCATGTATGGTAGTGGTCATAATGGTGGTAGTAACAGCAGTAATGGTAATTGTAGTAACCGTAATGTTTGTAGTTGTGGTAGTCATGACTATTAATGCCAGTTTAGATGACAATGGTACCCATGCATTAGCATTTCCTGGTCTTCAAGGAGCTTAAATAAATACTAACGAATCAATCTTTAGTCCATTTTCTACACCCAAACTCATCATATGCTTCATAGGCAACAAATGATGAGACCAGTTTATGCTTACAGGCCGGAATGACTGGCACTTTTCTGGTTTTGGCATGCATACAATTTCATTTTGTACTTTTTGCAAGGTGGGAAAAACCGGCAACTCAAGTTCATACTCAAAGTATCAGTGTATCATCGTGATTCACCTTGCAAGAAGAATTTCTTCATTTTGTGTTGGCAGATTTATACCGAGACAAACAGAGGCACCCTAAACACGGGAACAGGAACATCTTGGCGTTAGTTATCTATCGGAGACCGACGGCTACAGACTGTGCTGTCCTATGCCTGTCTACTTTCATGGTGTCGATCTTGCTTTTTTCGATAGACTGCAAAATTCAACGACATTGAACTACCTTCAGTTTTTAAGAATATTTTCAACATTTTTGTTTATTCTGATGCATGTAATCTGTCATATATATGTGCAATATACGATAATAGACTGAGTAGTGCGTTATAAAATTTATGGCTATGATGGCGTATTTCACTTTTTTTAAAATTTGACATGAGCAAGAGATGCTATGCTTGGCTATAAAAGTATGCGACAGAAATATCCTAGATCCTGATATAATATGAATAGAAGTAACTGATAGTGATTTTGTACTTTTGATATAGAAATTCGTGATTGATTATTAGGTAATAAAGTGATTATCACACTATATCTTCACAGAATTCCTAATAAATCTAATAAACTATACCACTACTCGAGTCTATTAATCAGATATAGGATTGTTCAATACCGTATTATTGTTGTTTACAAATCACCCTTACAGTATATAACAATATCATTGTTCACGTGACACCCATTACAAGGGGCTATTGTTGATTAAAATGGCTACTAATTGTTGTGTTGTGTCTGGATACAAGATATTATTAGCATGTAATGTTTGGTATCTAAGCAAGTTGGGGATATCATATGGCTTATTATTATCTTAGATATATTAGATTAAAAACATAACACTGGTGAGTAAACACTGTGTAACGGGAAAAAATATTTTCAATTGATTTGCATTGTTAAAAAAAAACCTACATGAGTGCAACGTCAACGAGGAAAGGAAATATGGACACATCAAACGAGGATTCAATGCAACCGAGTGTGGAAAATGGAAAAGTTATTGACGATAAACCAAATGATCAAAATCAGCAGCCAGCAAACGAGACACAAGATGCTAAAGCGGAAGCTGTTCAGGATACTACAAACCCAGCTTCTGCAGTGAAGCCGGATGTTACGATACCAACTGCAGAAGAGCGTGGAGATGATAATGATGTTAGTGAAGTTCAGGCTGAACAAGAAAAAGTAGAAATACATCATTATGATTCCGTTTCAAATATAAAATCAAACCCGGATCATTTCAAATACTCTGAACAATCCAAGGAACAATCGCATCGTGATGAATCCAGAAGTACCAAGTCCCGACAAAAGAAGCCGAAGAAGACAATATTCATGTCTTATTCGCCGGATGCTAGCTATATCGAAAGGAAGTTTGTCTCAGAAATCGTTCGACAACTGAAAGAGAATAATTTGGCTGATGATATTTGGTTTGATAAAGATGAACAGAATACCGATAGCCCATCATGGTTTTCACTCAGAATGGAGGCCATTGAGAAATGTCGGGCTGTAATATTAGTGTTGTCGGAAAGTTATTTTACATGCCCGGTGTCGGTGTATGAAGGCAAAACGTTGCTAGAAAGACTGAAACAAGAACCGAACTGTGTTAATCTGTTTCCAATAATGTTTACACCAATAGAAAATAAGGATATTCTGAAACAATTTGCTCCTTTGATGAAAAGACCGGTAGATTTGACGAAGAATCATATCAAAAAGAGTGTAGCAGAGAAAACGTCTATAGTGATTGGTGAAATTATGGAAGAATTAGAAAAATTCGGTTCGCTTAATTCGAGCTCTAATCCAAACTTTCGAGTAGACACAGAATTTACTGGAGAATATCTCAATAAAAAGATCTGTCAATGGACTGTGAGTGACTTACAGGAGTGGTTATTTAATCTGGGAATCAAAGAGTTTTATTTACAAAGTTTAGCAGAAAATATGATCGATGGATTCTTACTAATGTCTTTGACTGATTATGACATGGTCAAATATCTAGGTATTGACAGTCGAATCGTTCGGAAGAAAATCATGCAACAGATATTGTCAACGTTAGACAAAGAACACAAACAGCCTGATAACTGGCACCTGAGGGCCCGGGCACAGAGAACTAAGCCGGATGTGGTGTATCTTATTTACGATCCCGCTGATGTACGATTGATACAGAATATCAAAACAGATTTAAGAAGAAAAGGTTTACAGGTAAGTTCTTGAAGGCTTTTGGTGAGGTGATTTAAAGTAGCCAAACTATATCGGCCTTTAATAACCAAGACATTAGATCTGTATTGAACATGGTACTATATTGACGAAGACATTAGATCGGTAATGACCAAACCATTAGATCTATTATCTACCAAGACATTAGACCTATATCGACTAAGACATTAGATCTATACGTACCATGACATTAGACCTATATCGACAAAGCCATAAGATCTGTATTGACCAAGATATTAGATCTATACCTACCATGGCATTCGATCTATATTGATTAAGCTATTGAATCTATATCTAACAAGACATTAGATCTATATTACCCAATACATTATTTCCATATCTATCATGACATTAGACCTATATCGACTACGACATTAGATCTGTATTGACCATGACATTAGATCTGTATAAACCAAGACATTAGGTCTGTATTGACCGAAACATTAGATCTGTATTGACCAAGACATTAGGTCTGTATTGGCCAAGGCATTAGATCTGTATTAACCAAGACATTAGGTCTGTATTGACAAAGACATTAGATCTATATTGGCCAAGACATTAGATCTGTATTAACCAAGACATTAGGTCTGTATTGACCAAGACATTAGATCTGTATTGACCAAGACATTAGGTCTATTTGACCAAGACATTAAGTCTGTATTGACCAAGACATTAGATCTGTATTAACCAAGACAATAGATCTGTATTGACCATGACATTAGATCTGTATTAACCAAGACATTAGATCTGTATTGACCAAGACATTAGATCTGTATTGACCAAGACATTAGATCTGTATTGACCAAGGTATTAAATACATATTAACCTAGGTATTATATATATTAGCCAGGTTATTAAGTTTATATTGACCATGGCATTAGATCTGCATCTACCAAGACATTAGATCTATAATGATCAAGACATTAGCTGTATATTAACCTAGGTATTAGATATATATTAACCAGGTTATTAGATACTGACATTAGAATTATATCGACTCAGACATTAGATCTATATTGACCAAGACATTAGATCTATATCGACTAAGACATTAGAACAACAAGATATTAGATCTATATCGATTAAGACATTAGAACAACAAGATATTAGATCTATATTGACTAAGACATTAGAACAACAAGATATTAGATCTATATCGATCAGGACATTAGATCTATATCAACCATGACTTTCGATCCATATCGAGAAAGAAATTAGATCTATGTGTATAGTAATCAAGGTTTTAGGCCCATAATGACCTTGAAATGGATTTGCTTTTACTGTCTGATACCTAGCACCAACTATGTTCTTAAATTATAAGATAAAAATATAGTCGTGAACTTAAATGACATTCGATCTGTATTGATAAAGCTATTGAATCTATATCTAACAAGACATTAGATCTATATTAACCAAGACATTAGATCTATATTAACCAAGGCATTAGATCTGTATTAAGGCTTTAGGTCCATAATGACCTTGAAATGGATTTGCTTTTACTGTTGATCTGTCTGATACTTACAAGCAACTATGTTCTTAAATCATAAGGTAAAAATAAAGTCGTGAACTTAAATGGAATGTGAAATTATTTTACATGTTAATCTTGATAAAGTAATAAATGTGTCCTATGAATAAAATATACAATAGCCTTGACGATTAAACCTGGACCTATATTGCATTAGTATTATTAAAATATAATCATTATCACCAGACATGTGGACTTATATATAAAGTTATTAAATTCAGACAGGTGTTTTTGTGTAAATCCTATATCCCATTGACCTTAATTTCACCTGCTTTTTCTATAACTGTATGGATTTAAATATTACTCAGGGTTAAACCTGCTTCTAAGAACGTAATAAGAAATGGATTATCGATCACATATCGACTATCTGACAACTTAAACCCGGGATTAACATTTCAGGGACACTAAGATTATTTGTACAAAATATCTCTACCATTTATTAATATGTAAAGGCGTCAGTTTTATGCTTTTAAGTCGGTGTCG